GCATCTATTTCCTTTACTTCCTCAGCTGTTTGCTCTGTCTTTTTTGTAGTTTCAGACAGTTGGAGCTGCTGAGTTGCAAAGTTCTGATTTAGAGTTGTCAGCTGCTGATTAATGTTAGTCATCTGGTCCAGTAGAGGGCGCAAAGAGTCCGCCAAAAGTTTAGAGAACTCAGTGGTCTCCTCTGGTCGTGGGCTCATGCTCCCCGGTGCTTTCACTTTTGGGTGTTTGTCTCTCTCCACTTTTTTACACGCCATTTTTATGGATTGTTTACTTTTATCAAAACTTGCTAAAGTCTCTGAAAATCGCCCAACGCCTATCCGCGCTCTGGTAAGGTTCTTAAAACAGATTTCAATGCTTTTCATTCCATCCCCCCCCCCCCTTGGTAAATCGCTTTTTAGTTCATGCGTATGGGAGGGGCATGGATAGGCGTTGGTGAAGACCAGAGTCCTCCCTGCTCGCTTTTCTCGCCGTTCTCGGGGGGGGGACACTTTCTTTTTAAATTGCCGGTGTTTCGCTTTCACTCGACTCACTGTTCGTTGTTGGTCATACAACCTCGCTCAAAATGCGTTTTAAACGCTCGATCCCTGACACTTGTCCTGGTCAGCGGCTCTAGTTCCATTCGGATGCATAGCGGCAGGACCGTCAGGGCGGGAGAGCGTCTCAATTCCCCAGCATCACGCTGGTGAAGAGGCCACCCTTCAAAAGCCCCATGGCTAGGAGCCTTTCACAAAGGCTCCAGGGGGCGTAATGAACAATCGTCCCCCCTCCTAACCGCTAGCGCGCAGATCACACCTCCAGGAGGTGCGTCTGCCAGCGTGTCTCCATAAACCGGAAGCCCTCCCTCACAGGTTTTCTCGTGAAGATAAAATGGAGAAGACAATGATGTAAGCCACTTTGGGTCCCCATTGGGGAGAAAAGTGGGGAATAAATGAAGTAAATCAATAATAAATATTTATTGGCTCTGAGCAGGGAGGACTCTGGTCTTCACCATATTACTTGTCTAAGGGTGGTTTGCCTTTTTGCTCCTGCGTGCCTCACTCTCCAATCACTAATGATCTGCCATCGGTCAAGTCCTGTAGAATTCGGGAAGACTTGTTAGTGCCACAGGACAGTCCTGATTCTCCTCCCTAGTTCCCACTGCTCTTGGGAAGGCCAGCTTCCTCCTCCAGGAAGCTCCCTGCTGGAGCTAAAGAGCTGCCAGTTGCATCACCTCCTTTGGTGTAGTGGTTAAGTGTGCAGACTCTAATCTGATTCCCCACTCCTCCACTTGCAGCTGTTGGATGACCTTGGGCAAGCCATAGTTCTGTCAGAGGTGTTCTTGAAAAGAGCAGTTTGTGTCAGAGCTCTCTCAGCCTCACCTACCTCACAGGGTGTCTGTTGTGGGGAGGGGAAGGGATAGGAGTTTGTAAGCCGCTCTGAGTCTCCGAGTGAAGGGCGGGGTATAAATCCAGTCTCCTCTTCCTCCTCCTCTTCGTCTTCTTCTCAGACTGACCTTGACAGGCAGGCAGGCAGACAGTTCTAAAAGGAGCTTAAAGGGCAACCATGTTACTTTTCACTGAGTTAGGTGGGAGTAGGAATCCAGTGCTGTCTCCTTGAGGCAAGAAGGTCTGCCTGCTAAAGCACCTGTTTTCCCTCTTGGCTCTCAGAGAAGGTCAGTGGCTGAGGCAGGCTGGAATCCCAGATAAGCTGGTGCGGCTCTCTGCTGGGAGCGGAAGGGAATGCAGCATAACAAGAGGAGCATGAGAGATTCCTGAACCTGGGCCCCTCATCTTTCACCGTCTTTTTGCCTTCCTCTCCAGGGATGATAATGAAGACGACCCATCCCAGAAAAGTGCACAGTCCCTGCTGAGCTTCTTTGCCCGGAAAGAGGCTCCTACTGAGCGCCCTCTCCATCGCTTCTTCCATGAACGCAAGCTAGAGACGGTGACTAGCCTCTAGGGGAAAGCAGTCCCTTCCCTTCTGGCTGGGACCTGCCATGTACATGCAAAGTACTGTTATTTGTGAAGCATGATACATTTGGCTTCACAAGAAACTTTTCTCATTAACTTGTTTTTAAACAGGGGTTAGAACTCCTTTGAGCGACAGGTGAGGGTGGTAGCGTGGGAGCACAGGCATCCTGGTCAGCGGCTCTAGTTCCGAATCTCACGTTAACGTGAGTGGAGAATCTCACATTAAGGGCATTTGGGTTTCTGTGTTTTTTAGTTTCAGGTAATAAAATTTTTAAATGCATGTTTTCAGTCCTGCTTTGTGTCAATTGACCAGTGGTACTTAAGAAAAGCAGACTGAGGTGCTCCGGTGTCTGAGGCAGTTGTATCTGAAGGAATACTTTAAAAAAAAAATGAGAGAGGCTTTAACAACTCACAGCGATTGCATCAAAACCCCACTCAAGACTTCTGCTTGAGGGGAGAAGGTTCTTTCCTTCTCCATCAGGGCAGCCACAGTGAACTGCAGCATTGGAAAGCGGATCTCTGTGCTGCTGCAGGGGCGGAATGGCCTCTGGTCTGTGTGGGTGGGTGCTTGAGGCAGAGGTATTCGTATCTGTAATGAATATGTAAGTGAAACCACTATCAGTAAAGCCTTCAATGAGAATTCTCTGCAGTTTCAGTACAGGTTGACTCTGTTCCACCTTTACTTGTAAGCCATTTCTGATGGTTTAGAGAAAAAATGGGGGTGGGGAAATTTCCCTAGCTGTACATCAGGGCCAGAAACTTATATAGCAGCTAAGAGATGAAAGTCCTTGATCTGAGTCTGTCTTCAGTCATAAAGTCACTAGGGTTGCCAGGAAGCCAAAAATGTCCTGGCCTTTTAATAGAGGCATAATGTGTTGAAATGGGCTGCTGGAGCTTTTCGTGGCATGGAGGTAAATAATATCACCTGGTAAATAACATAAGCATCTGTTAAAGGGACAGGGTATTTTCCTCCAGGCCTTTTACCAACCCTGGAAGTCACTAGGTGCTTTAAATTCAGATCCCCATCTGCAGTATGGAAATAATAGTCTTTCCTTTATCTCAGTAATCATTTCAATAACTATGTAATATCTGTGAGTAAGTTTGAATAATTGTAAACATTTGAGATGCTCAGAAGAAAGGCAGGTATATAAATATTTTAAATAAATATATGTGCTAAGCATGGATATTGGCTAAAGGACCATCTTCTGCCCCTGTGAACCTGCCTGTTTACTTAGATTAGTACCTGAAGCCCTATCCGGATTCCCTCCTCCTTCTGAGATGACAGGGCCTCTTCAGTGGTGGCATCTCATTTACAGAAGGTGACATTCAACTATCATGTCTGTCCTTTAGGCACTGGGTTGAACCTGTCTCGTCAAGCCTTCTCAGGAATGTTCCTGATTTTTGTTCATCTTTATTGCTTCTACTGTCTTACTTTGATTGTTGGTTCTTTTGGTTTACCTATTGGTTCTTTTAATGTGATTTTTTGGTAAGCCGCCTTGAATATTTTTCAAAAAAGTGATATGGAATGTTTTAATAATTTAATTATTCCTCCTACTAGTAAACTTCCCATGCTTATCAATAAGGCACTGAAACAGGCCCAGCCAGAGACGAAGCAGAGGGTTCTGCATACTTGCAGGACTCCCTAGGTATGTCCAAAAACATTAATTTTGTAAACTTAAAAAAGAAAACAAAATATACTTAAATGCAGCCTGATGGGGACCAGTCATACTCATTGGCCTCCAATAGGTATGGAATGCTGCTGGTCAGATGAAAATAAGAGTCGCAGGAACTGGCATGGTTAAGGCCCCTAACAGTCTGCAATGTTCTCTCCGGAGAAAGATTAGGACTGAGCCATGATTCTACCAAACCAACAACCTCCCCCATAATATAAGATTTATAGAGGCTGTTGGTGAACCTAGGAGTCAGTGCAGGGAAAGATTAATTAAGGGTGGAGGGAAAGCACTTCCTTTAACCTTAGCTAGCTGATCCTTTCATTACCCTTTTGAGAAGGAAGCAGAACTCCTAGCAACCTAAAATATCCTGGAATTGGGAGAAATTAGACATGTTCCCTCAGTCAAAGTGGGGAAGGGAAAGTTATTTTTTTAAGTGCCTTCCCCTCCCCCATGTGGGTCTGCTCAAGTTTTGAGTTAGATGAGTTGCTTTGTGCTTACCTAGCTCAAAGGCAGTGCAAGACTGTTGGGCAACTTGAAGTTAAGGTCTAGGTGAGCCCCTGTTCCAGCCCTGGCTTCGCAGTTACACCATGGGAGGAGTGGGGTTCCCAATCCCATTGTCCTCCCACTCTGATTTCTTTTGTTATTGTCGCAGGCCAGTGAGAGGAAACTGCTTCTTGGGAAGAAAGTCTGTTTTCAGCAAACTCTTGCTTTTAAAGCTGACTGGCCAGCTCTCTCCCTCTGCTCCAGCTCTGCCCCTCACTTTGCCTGTCCTTATACCCCTGCTTGTGCCCTGAGTTTTGCACACGCTGCTCTACTACCCATTCTCTCTGTGTTCTTTGCTGTCTCGGCCTCCTCTGCTTGGAGCAGTCTCCCGTGCTCGGCCTGTCAAGCTCCTTTCCACTATCTTCAAGGCCTTTAACAAAGCCTTTCCTCAGCCCAGCCCAGCCTTACTTTATCCACTTTCCCAGGCTCATCCTCATGACTTTATCTGTCAGATAGTAAAACTGCCACTCCTGTCTCTTTGTCCTTTGGGTGGGCGAAGGGCCTGTCTCTTTTGCCATATCAGTGTTCGTCCTGACGGGAGAACTGCCTGTTCAGAAGCGCACAAGTCTGTGGGATGCCCTGGTAACTTAATCTTATGCAGAGGACGGTTATGTTGGGCAGATTTGGGGTGTGTGTGTGTCCAGCAGAACAATGGCAAAAGGTATCTTAGTTTGGAGAAAATAAGCTAGTGGTCCTTCATTGTCACAGATGTGCAAAATGTGATCTGCCATGCAGCATCCCTAGCACCATAATGCATAAGATACCTTATGTAATTAATGGGAAACAGTCCTGCCCTTCTCCAGCATCTCTTCCATGCCATTCAAATGGGCATGGAGAAAGTGGACCAGGGCCTGAAGGTGGTTTCTGCCTTCCTAATGGGTCCATTTGCAAATAGGATTCAAATCTAGTCAGTCATTTTCTTTAAAACAAATCTTTTGCTGCACATAAGCTCACACACAACAAACATATACATATATTTTTTTTAATGCCCACCCCAATACACATACAAGTACTGATAGGTTTGAACCAATACAGAATGTGCATTTTGCAACAAACATGACCAAGGAAGGGCATGAAAATGCAGCTCATAAAGTGTTCTGAAGGAATTTGTAGATGGTTTCTACTTGAGCCTACTCTCGGGTTGAGTTTGGAGGAAATTCTTAAACTGCCACATAAAGATGTGGAGGGCTCTGAGGCGGGCACCCCCTGCTCAAGGTAAGATTGTTCTCTTTACTGACAGTCCCAGTTGCTAATTAGAACAAACACCCCATGACATCACTTCTAATAGGATGCTGTGCCTTTTATCCAGAGCGCTTGAAACTTTACGTTTCCTGACTCAAATGCTGCACAGTAATAGCTACTAGCAATCTATTGATTGTACACTTTTCTCCCTGCCCACATCTGAGTTGCATGAAAGCTCCTGCTAGTCCTAGGTTTTAGCCTATGTCCTGCTGCAGCAGCTCTTGCTCTGATAGGGCATTCTCCTGGCTGTTATGTGATGGCTTCACTCAGCCAGCTATGTAGCTCTCTGGCTCCACATACTGGCCAGAAGCGTCTCTAGATCCTGCTGCCTCCATGTTGAGCTCATGTAGTGAAGGCTCTTCCTTTTTTGACTCTGTCTCACAGAGTACCTGAAGCTATGTAAGCAATTGTGCCTAACTCCTCCTGCCCAGCATCAATTACCTCACCTATTGTTTTCCACCTATACGGTCTCTGCATTCTTAAACCTGTTCCATGCCAAAGCACATCTCCCTTGTCCTTTTCTGTACCAGAGGGGAATCTTATCAAGTACCGCGACGACTAGCTCTTTGAGGTACCTGTGGACAGTAGCTAGACAGGAAAGGTGCTGGAAGTGAGGTTGTCACCAGCAAAAGACTCTAACCCTGTCTTCCAAGCTAGACAAAATGAAGAAAGCTGGGGAGACTAAACTGGCCATGGGTAGGCTTGAGGGAGATGAAGGTGCCCTTTAGGGACAAACTGTAGTTCTAGATCCCAGTTACAGTGCCAGATCTGTTTCCTACTCCATGACCACACCCAGATTGCACAGAGCTAGACAAGATGGCAAGAAGCTGGTAAAGGTGGGACATGACAGATTTGCATAGATCACAAGTGATCCCCCCGAGACCCAGGCAATCACAGGGGAGGGGGTTGTTTTCCCCTGGAAGGGTGGCTTCATTGGATCAGAACCCACTCCCGCTTCCCTCCACATCTTCCATGAAGACAGAACGTTTCTGTAGGTTCTTTTTCAGACGCTGGAGCAGGAGGCTACCTGGACAAAGCCCTTTGCGGCCCACTCTTCTGCTGTCCACCTTTATGGTTTCAAGATCCTCAGTGCTGTCACTATCTTCATAGTGAGAATGAGAGGCTGAAATGCCTGGGTCAGAAGCAGTCAGTGTCAGGCACTCACAGGGGTCAGTGCTTACTGTGAAAGAGTCATCCCAGATGGTCTCACAGAGCTCCTTCCCATCCATGTACATCTGAGGAAGGAAAAAGAGTGATGTAAGCCAGGAGGCAGAGCTTTGATGCAGCTTTCAGTTGGTGTCTGAGTGGTACAGACTCATAGAAGTACAGGAGTGACAAGCCGAGGAACCTCTCTGGTAGTGAGAACACAGACTAGAACAGTGATGGCGAACCTTTTAGAGACCCGAGTGCCCAAACTGCGACCCAAAACCCACTTATTTATCGCAAAGTGCCAACACGGCAATTTAACCTGAATACTGAGGTTTTACTTTAAAAAAAACAACTCCTACATTAACTTAAGATGATCCAAACAAAGTAAGGAAAGCAATCCCAAATGCTTTCATTTACTTAAAATTATTTGGCAGAGAATTCGACACTTTAATGATGGTCTGGGCCTGGCTGAGGTGATGGCACGCGTGCCCGCAGAGAGGGCTCTGAGTGCCACCTCTGGCACCTGTGCCATAGGTTCGCCACCACTGGACTAGAATATTTGTGGAGGGAACCCAGAAATCTTCATGGCTTTGTTGGTTCTGATGGCTTTTACTGAATTCAGAGAATGTCAGCATTTCTGTACCCTGCCCCCATGACCTACTTTTCAATATTTATTTGATGCAAATAGCAGTGTTCTGTACAGTGTTCATTCTCACCATCAATCTGGTTACACATGTAGAATAGTTCTAATACAGTCATCAACATTTACTATCTGGATAAATAGGGAAAGGCTGTGGCTGAATGGTAAGAGTATCTGCGTTGTATGCAAAAGTTCCTAGGTAAGGCTCAAGCATTGGCATCTCTAGGATCAGTGCTGTAGAAGACCTGAACCTGAGACCCTGCAGAGCTGGCTGACCTTGAGAGACCAGTGGTTTGCCTTTTAGGGATGCCCATACTCAGACTAAAAACTGACACACAGTAACATTTAAACAGAAGTCAGAGCAGATCCTTCAATCATCGTGTGAGTATGCCAACCCCCTGTCTATCAGGAGGGGTTGTTTCAACCCACAAAAGACCCCACAGGGGTACCCCCAGGAGTCCATGTACCAGGCAACTTGACATAAGTAGACACAAAGATGCACGCCAGGACTGGCAGGCCCCATAATCATGCCTAGGAAGTGACCCTGGAAAGCACATGAGATCTTGCTCTGACAACTGTGACTCCACCCCCACCCCCGTTGACATCTGCATACTCCGGACAATGGACTTGCCTGGCCCCAGAGTTACTTCTTTCAATCTCGATAATCCTATCAATCTGATCTCATCTTTCCTCCTCACATTTCCTTCATAGTGAAAAGTCCTAACTTCTTTCCTACATGCCAAAGCCAGGTGGCTCATCAAACAGTATTGTTTCCATTTTGATTAGTTTAAATTAGCAATCCACTAGTCCTTCAACCACCAGAGAAGTAATCAGGAACCCAACCCAAATTGTACTTTGCATCTAGAAGAGAATCTCCAGTCTCTTGTCCAGTTCTGGGAACTCTATATGAAGTTCCCAAACAACGTTTTATCCCTGATTAATCTCATCAGTGCTTTGTTCTGAGGGACCCCTCCCATTAGCAAGCACTCTGGACACCTTTTGGGGTATAACTAGCCCATCACAACTTTATTCCCGTGGTCTTGGGCGCCTACCAACACCCACCTCTTGCTGAGGCCTGCCATTTAGCTAAATTCCCCCAGTAACTGAAGGCAGTGACTCAGCCTCTTAATATCTATGCTGGTAGGGATAACACTTGCTTTCAGGTGGTAGGCATTCAGGGGCACCTTGAAGACTAAAAAAAAGAACAGTTTGCTGGAATAAACAATGTGATATGTTTAATGACATGAGTGCTGAAATTAAAGGTATTAGTCTTTAAGGTGTCAGCAGACTTCTGTTTTATTTTGCCACTACAGACTAACATGGCTACTATCTGGACTTTGCATGACCAGCAAATCGGATGCTAGTTCAAATGTTAATTACAAGTGAGTCACCATATATATCACAGAGACTGTTTATTTAGAAGGAGGAGGAGATAAGAGTGTTGTGGATATGTGGAGGCTTGGTCTAATCTTTCTCTTTCTTAAATGTTTGGATTTAGAAAAAGCCCAGCAGGAACTCATTAGCATAATAGGCCACACCCAACAGCAGACACTCATTAGCATAATAGGCCACATCCAACAGCAGACACTCATTAGCATATTAGGCCACACCCTTGACAGCACATTAGCATATTAGGCCACACCCCCATGTTACCAGAAGTGTGGTCATCCAGCCACACACCCCTTTTGCTTCTTATTCTGTTTACCTTGTAAAAACCCAGAGCTTTTTTTGTAGCAGGAACTCCTTTGCATGTTAGGCCACACACCCCTAATGTAGCCAATTCTAATGAGTTTCTGCAGTTGGGTGTGGCCTATTATGCTAATGAGTTCCTGCTGGGTGTGGCCAACTCAGGAGCCAGCTGGAACTCCGTTCCTGTGCGTTCCTGCCCAAAAATAGCCCTGGATTTTGTTAAAATGTTAAAATGAGCTGCGGTGGCTAAGATGCTGAACTGCAGGCTGTGGAAGGTCAGTAGTTCAGCAGTTCGAGACCCGGGTGCCGCAAGACGGAGTGAGCTCCCATCTCTAGTTCCAGCTCCTGCCAACCTAGCAGTTCGAAAGCAAGAAATTGCAAGTAGATAAATAGGTACAACTTCGGTGGGAAGGTAACAACGTTCCGTGCGCCTTGATGTTTAGTCATGCCGGCCACATGACCACAGAAACGTCTTCGGACAGCGCTGGCTCTTCGGCTTTGAAATGGAGATGAGCACCGCAACCCTAGAGTCAGATTCGACTGGCTTTCGAGCAAGGGAACCTTTACCTTTATGCCTTTTCATGAGGGCTGAAAATATTATTCTGTAAAAGACTAGAATTTTCTAGAAAACCCCAGGGCCTGAGATAACAACCATCAAGTTCCCAGTAAAGCACTTGTCACACCACTTATTTGATTTTAGTAACTTTTGTTGTTTGGGCTGGCTGAATTGTAATTGATGCCTGCCTTCCTGGGGGGGAGGGGAGTCCCAATTCCTGTTCATCCCCTTAGCTTCAAAACAATTGCCTCTCTCTCTTAAAACAGAGCTGCCCACAGAATCAGTCCAGAAGCCATTCCCTGGCTGTTGGCACTGAGGAGGAGGTGGCAGCACTGCGTCTGTTGTTTGCTGTCCTCACCTGGCCATATGAAATGCACTTCTGACTGCAGTTATTCCCATCAGGTCCCCAGTGCCAGTCGGTAAGCCAATTGCGAGCGCAGGTCAAGTCTTCCTTGCAAGCATCATACCTGTGAGGCGAGATGGGATGGGGAAATAATGAAGGCAGGTGGAGCTTCACAGTAGAATTCAAAGTTGTGGCTCCTTAAGCTAGGCTATTCGCAGGCACAAACGGTATGCAGAACATTTGTTCTTTCCTTAGACCTGCTGGGACAAATGCTGTAACAACAGCCCACAAGTTGCCTTTGAATGGGAAAAGCTGCTTCCCGTGGGCCCAGTCGGGAATGGAGAAGTGACACAGAGGGAGAGTGCAGAACCCTTATCCCATACTCCATATGAGGGGTGATTTGGAACAGGGATAACCATCCCTCCCTTTATCACATCTCCATTACTGATTGTGCCCGCCAGAGGTAGTTTTTCCATTTTGCTCCTAGTTTTGCCCTGATGTTGGGAGTCAGTTGGTCTGGGAGGAAACTGCTTCTAGCACTACAGTAGGGCAAGGTGGGGAGGTGGTATAGGAAGGAGCATTTAGTTCTCCTCACCCTAAAGATCCAAGTTAAGGAAGAAAACTTCACATCACTGTTGTCACACCTTCCTATAGTCACTCTGCAAATCAAATTTTAATTACCTATTAAATTGGGATGTTATTTCCTGTCTGTTGATAGGGAGGATCCTTTAGCTGTAGGGTACCATCCCCAAGAATTATTCAACAAGTGTCTGGGAGCAAAGAGTTACAGCAGTTAATGTGTCTGTAATGATTTCATGTTTAACTGTGTGTGTGTCTTTAAAAGTTTGGTTGCATGACTGTATGATAGTCTAGAGTGGTTGAAACAGGCAAGTGGTGTGATTGGTGAGTGACAGAGAGGGGGAGGGGTTTTGGAAGTGAGGCTGTGTGGAGGATATGTATGTCTATCAGGAGACAGAGATTTGACAGTTGATGAAGACAGTTGATGTTCAGTTAAGCAGTTTGGTTCTGAGTTCTGTGAGAGAAGCAGGAGTTCAGTTAAGCTCTGTGTATGAAAGAAGTGAGAAGCCATTCTGTGTGAAAACAGTTAAGCTGTCTGTTGATGTTGTTCAGAGAAGAAGAAAAGTTATAAAAAAAAGTCTGAGTGACAGACTGTAGTGAACTTATAAGACCTTGAGTATAAGGTTACAAAGTTACTGGAAACATCCCTGTCAGTAAGGGAGAAGCTTGTGAGAGACACCAAGCAATTGTTCAAATCATTCACATTACTGTTTACATTGTTCTACCCTCGTATTTATGCTTTATTTAAATAAAACCTATTTCATTCAAGTCTGCCAGCTCTGAAAGAAATAAGTCTCAGGAAACACATAGACCCTCATGAAAGCCTAAAACCCTCGACCTATCTACCCAGAAATAGAGAAAGCATAAAGGTTTGGAAATCCTTTTTAAAACCCTTTTAAAGTAAAACCAGACCTCCCCAGTTAAGGGGTTGTCACAGTGTCCTATATAACACAATGGAACTGAAAATAGAACGTAGTAATTCAATCAATTCCTTGAATTCCATTCATAAGGAATCTAAAATTAAGATTTTTGAAACAAAAACAGAAAATGAAAAAACTCATGTAAACATCTTGACATACATATCATCAACATATCTAATTTTCAGTGTGGCTCCATCTGTGGATACTTAAATCCAGAAAGCGAATCCATGAACAGGCAAGATAGATCTTTCTATAAATCTGAGAAAAGCCCCAGGTTTGCCGAAAAATCTGAACTCTAACAAAACAAAATGTTTTTTTTTAAATGCAGAACCTGTACCTTTAAGAAATGAATGTCCTCTGATATCTCATTGGCCAATCTGGGGGTTGCTAAGCAAGTACAAGAATATTGCCAGCCTTCAAATCTTGGTTTCTATCAGTAAAACGCAGGGGGAAGGCTTTTTTGGGGGGGCTATTTTGGCTTCCCAGTCCACCCCTGCTCTCCTACCTCCTGTCTTGGATGTAGGACATATCAGGGCAGGGGCACCAGAAACTACCAGGCACCTTGCTGCAATTCAATTTGCGCAATTCAGCCAGGTGTGGCAGGAACTACTGGATGACTTGATGTCATGCAACTCACCTGGATCCACTGGCAGCCTCAGCACAACTTGTGCTACTTGGATGGGCCTAGCACTGGCTCACGCCAATGACCTGCTTCTGCATGACTTTTGCAACTGGGCCAGACTTTTCCCAGGGAGAGGCTGCCAGGGGGAGGGGAAGCTGAGAGCCAGTGTGGTATAGTGGTTAGAGTGTCAGCCTAGGATCTGGGAGATCCAGGTTCAAATCTACATACTGTCATGGAAATTTGCTGGGTAACCTTGGGCCAGTCACTCTCTCAGACTAATCTGTCTTACACGGTTGCTATGAGGATAAAATGGAGAAGGGGGGGATGATATAAGATGCTTTGGTTTCCATTAGGGAGAAAGGTGGAATAGAAATGAAGTAATTATATAATAAATAAAGCTGAAGATTGGGGGAGGCAGATAAAAAAGGCTGGTTGTTGAGAAGGAAAGAAGGAAGCAGGAAAAGGGGAGAAGATATGGGGGCTGCTAGGAGGAGGGACAGAAGAAATACTGTGGAGAAGGTACAGGGGAAAAGGAAGTGACTCATGCAAGTCTGCAGGTTCCCCGCTTGTAAATAAATACTGGTCATTTGCTAATGTTCCACTATCTTAAACCATTTTTTCCACCATCCCTTCATATCCCACATGATGTCTCCCCTGCAGACTTAACTCACCATTGATCACAGAAATTTTGGCAAAGAGGCACAGCCAGCACAGCTGTGGGTCGCTGAGGATGAGGCCACTGGGCAGCAATGGGAGAGCAACGATAAAAACATTCCACTTGCTGAAAATACTCCTCACATCTGTAGGGGAGAGGTAAACATGGACATCAAAAAGGCAGTAACTAACTTCCTAAAAGATGGGTCAGGGGTCACCTGTATATCATTCTTGATATATACATCATTCTTGAGAGTGAGTCTCCACAAGATATTGAACCACAAGCAGAAGATGAGAGGAAAAAGTAGGGCAAAGATCAACAAACCCAGCGAGGCCCTGTAGCCTACCTACCAAGGGGAATTTCATAACAAAGGCCACCTCATGCCACCCAGAGGTAACAACCCCATGGCTGCTATGAAAAGAGGGATACAACTGGCTATAGCAGGCAGCTTTTTTTTTTTCCTTTGGAGGGCTGGGGCTATGCCTGACCTGCGGCTGAGGCCCTCACAGCGATTCCAGTAGATGTCATTGGCTTTGGAAAGGTCCTGGATAACATCTGGTGAGCAGCAGGCATCTGTGAAAAGAACCAATCCATCAGCACCTTCTGGACCGAGATGACTATCAAGGTTAGTACTGAATTACTCTGACTGGCACCAGTTCTCCAGGATTGCAGGTAGAAGTGTTTCCCATCATCTGATCCTTTTAAATTGGAGATACTGTGAATGCAGCTTGAGACCTTCTGCATGCAAAACAGATGCTCTACCACTGAGCCACAGCCCCATTTCTGCAACAACTGCTGTTCTCACTTGATAAGCTACATGTATGAAATTGCCATCAGGTATGAGATGAATTACCAGATACATCACACACACACCCCGGGGCTCTGCAGGATCTGCACATGAACCCACGGATATTTTTTAAAGCTCACACAGACACAGGGAGTATCACTCCTAAGATGCGGTGCTCTATAGAGTTCCCTCTGTATCTTGTCCCAGGTGTGGCCCTGATAATTCCACAGGACTATTCATTGTTTGAGTTCAAGGTTGCTGAGAGGCGAGAATAAAGACACAAGATTCTGGGGGGCCCATGAAGTTGGGCAAGTAATGTGATTTGCTTTCATATTATTTTTGAATTTGGACAGGGAGATACAAGAGAATCACAGAGAAACCCTTTGTTTGGAGGCCCTTGGTGTTCGACAAGTCAAATTTTGATCAGAGTTCTGTCATAATTTCAGCTTCCAAAGGAAAATGCATGTTCTTCCTATTAGCATTTCTCCCTGAATAAGCGCTCAGGCTGAACACATGTCAAAAGTATTTGCTTCCTTGGCTGCTTGTGAAGGCATAAGCTGTTTGTTTACTTTGTTTAGGGTGCCAGCTTCTTGACTTGGAATCCAGGACCATGCAAGAGAAAATTCAGTTACTGAAAGTCTGTAGTGAGACATCTGGAGGTTGCTAATTTAGAAGGACACAACAGCAGCTGTGTCATTTGTTGCTCAGTGTGGTCATGTATAATGGAGAATTAAACACTGATTGATAGTTCCTTCCCCATACTTCACAGACCAACTACATTAGGTAAAGCCTCTATTATACAACATGGATATTGCCCAGCCCAAAAGTGTATGGAACCTTTGGTTGCAAACACATCATAAAACATTATTGTCCTGTAATTCAGTCATCATGTTTGTGATGGACAATACCATGTTATATTTTATATGACTGTTCACAGAAGTCAAAAATATGGAGCCAGAAAACAGATGTTTGCAATTCCCTGTGAGAAACTGAAACTCAACCATCTGAGTGTTAGGTCCTTGTCCATTGGCTGTGCAGAATTTGAAGAGACAGAAATAGTTGTGAGTGCTATACTATGAATGGGTTTATTACTGTGGATTGTATGTCATCATCCTGCTCACCTAAGGACAGTGCAAGATGTGTCCTGCCCAGGAGACGAACCTCTTGCAGCAGCAGGCTACATCATGTGACAACAGAACAGGCTGCCCTTATCTGAGTATGGGATACAACAGGCTCTGCCCAAAGTGGCACATGATGGGACTCAGAAATGTCCTTAATATCTGTGGATATTTCCTTAACGAGAGTTAATTGTGAAAGAGAGTTTTCTGATAGCACTGATCTCGTATGGAAATTTGTAGAAGTTAATATTTCTCCTCCCAGAAGAGGAGAGAGACAGATGTTCAAGTGTGTGTGGAAAAATACCAGTTGGGGAGTGTTGAACAGACAGAAGGGGGGCGGGGAAAGAGAGATAAGTTCTTCAACAGAGGAGCACCTTGGGATGTAGTCTCCCTCTCTGATGTAGGATAACCGATTTGCTGTTTTGTAGGAATGTCTCTATCAGTGTTCAACTTGTATAATTATAAATAAAGCAACTATTACAAAAGCTTATCTAAAAGAACTGATCCAAGTACCACTGCTCATGAAACTTTTTACTGTTTGTAGAAGAGAGGATTATTAATAAACTTTTGCTTATGTTTTTTCAGAGATAGCAGATAAATCTCTTGTTTTGAAATTCTTAGGTGGGCAGCATTCCTGGGTGGAATAAAATTCCACTGAAATAACTTACCCATAATTTGTTTAGGAGCACTGTGTTTATTCAGGAGGGCATTTTCCTGAATTTATAGCCCACATAGGTAAAGGTTCTCTTGCTCGAAAGCCGGTCGAATCCGACTCTAGGGTTGCGGTGCTCATCTCCATTTCAAAGCCGAAGTCAGCGCTGTCCGAAGACGTTTCCGTGGTCTTGTGGCCGGCATGACTAAACACCAAGGTGCACGGAACGCTGTTACCTTCCCACCGAAGTGGTACCTATTTATCTACTTGCAATTTCTTGCTTTCGAACTGCTAGGTTGGCAGGAGCTGGAACTAGAGACGGAGCTCAGTCCGTCATGCGGCACATTCGGGTCTCGAACTGCTGAACTACCGATCTTCCGCAGCCTGCAGTTCAGCGTCTTAACCACTTGAGCCACTGCAGCTCCTAGTAGATAAATAGGTACCACTTCAGTGGGAAGGTAACAGTGTTCCGTGCACCTTGGCGTTTACTCATGCCGGCCACATGACCATGGAAATGACTAGTGCTTAAATATTCCCAGGCCCCCCCCCCCCCCCGTATCTTTCAGACATAATGAATGGACTAATCCAGGCTGGTTCTGTAGTAGATTAGTCAGGAAGGTCACCTCCCATTCCATAACAGCTGAGTACAAAGGAGGCCAGATAGAAACTCTATTTTTTCCCTTCAGTTTGCTGCTACAGTTGCCATCTATTTTAGTGGTTGCATTTTTGAGCTTTTAACAGCAGCCCAAGGAATTTAGAAGATTTTTTAATGGCATGGAAAAAAACATCATTTGCCAAACTTCTGTGTTCTGTGCAGCTATTAAGCCATGGCTAAACATAGAGAGGAGACATCTCCACCCCGCATTCTGCACCTGTGATGTTAAAGGCAAAAGAAGAACTAGAATGGGGCCAGTAAAGAGGCTTCTTTAAAGACATGTCATCCATTTACAACCTGTACTGAATCCAGCAGAACATGCTCTGTCTAGCGCACATTGGAAGACCTATGAAGCGGTGCTGGTGGTGGCAAAGAAATGTTATTTCTCTGCAACAATTGCATCACCGAGTTTTATTTATTTATTTTTTATTGATTTCTATCCCGCCCATTCCGGCCTAGGCTGGCTAGTTTATGACCATCCCAGTTTTTTATGGTATCTCAACATCTGCTAATTCCTAAATCTGAGCCTGTATTGTCTCAGGAACAAACAATTAGCTGTGATAATTTTGCAAAGTTTTCTACTGATAAAATATCATAAACTCACTCTAATCTGAATGCTGGTTGCAATATAGGCCAATTAGTAACTCATGGTACCTTTCCTTGGCCATTCAAAGAGGTGGTTGTCTGTCCACTGTATAAAAAACAATCCCTACATATAAATGATGTGGCCAATTATCACCTAGTCTCTAATCTGCCCTTTCTGGGCAAATCAGCTGAGAGAGCAGTAGCAGATGAACTCCAAGTCTTCTTGGCTAACTCATCTGCTCTGGACCCTTTTCAGTCTATTCAGGCCAGACTATGGGATAGAGATGGCCCTGTTGGCTTGTGAACCTCTGTCTGAAGGTAGGCAAAGTCCATACTTTTTGGCTGCTCCTGCTGGACTTATCTGCAGCCTTTGATCATGCCATCCTGTTGAGGCATTTGGAAGCAGAAGTAGGTATCGGGATGTACCTTGAACTGGTTTACATCTTTCCTCGTAGATTGGACTCAGAGGGAGACTACTTTTCTTCACTGTGGGAGCTATCCCGTGGGGTTCCACAGGGTGCAATCTCATCTCCCATGTTATTCAACCTCTATGGAAAGTCCTTAGGAGAAAGCAACTTCCGGTTTCAGCGGCACGAATGGCGGGTGTGCTCCATTGGAGCTCTGATAGGAGCAGCCCATGACGGGCGGATGAGAGGGGTGCCAAATGAATCCGCCCCCCCAGAGCCCTTGTAGGGGGCTCCCAGCCTGGGGTGTGAGGGGAGCCTCTCCCAAAGCTACGACCAAGGGATAGAGGCTCCACTTTGCCCCAATAGGTCCTTCCGCTGCGGCACCATTATGGCAATCAGAGGCACACACTGGATAAGCGAACAGGGGATGAAGTGTTTTTGCAAAGCTCATCTTTTGCAGCTGGCATGGAGTGAAGCGTGAGTGTTAATCTTCATTAACTGAGTATGCAGTAAAGCAGCCATCTGAACCCCCCGAGTATCAACGACGGAGGGGGAGGGAGTATGCTACCCCCCCAACTTTAAGCAAACTGTTAAAGCGATCCAGGGGGCGAGGGGACACAATATTTTTTGGACTTAAAAAACTTTCCCTGAATTGTAAACAGTGACTAATCGGGCAGAAAAGATGGCGACGAGAACAAAGCACTCTCCCGAAACTGCCAGACAAGCACTTCTGGCTGCTAAACCAGAAGTAAATACTGACTTTCCCAGCATGTTAGCTACAGCATTGCACCCTCTGTTGGATCAGATGACTAATCTCAACAGCAACTTTGAAGCACTCCCAAAACAACTTAAAGACACAAGTATAAAAACAGAGGAGACAGCAAAATCGGTGAAAAAAGTTGAAGCTAAGACAAAAACAATTAATCAAAGACTGGAAGTGGTGGAGAAAGAGAGGACCTCTGATAAAGATCAGCTTTTAAGACTCCAAATGGAAAAATCAGCCTACGTTCTGAAATTTCAAGGTGTCCTTGAACTGAAGGGTGAAGGAAATTTTAAGTGAAGCGTTGGCCCCAATGACAGGTTTAACAGCGGATTTACTGCAAAGCGACATGGACATGATCTATCGGACATATCCAGAATTTATCAAGGAAAAAAACCTGCCAGGGGAGGTACTGGTGAAATTCTCAAAGAGATCAACAAGAGACATGGTGCTCAAGGCCACAAATGGGGCAACCTTAAAAATCAAAGACGAAGAAATTAGAGTCCTAAAAGACATACCATTTGAGATAAGAAAGAAGAGGAAACAATATAAACACTTAATTATTTTTTTACAGAAAAATGCCACACCTTACAGATGGTTAATACCTGAGGGACTTATTTTCAACTATAAAGATAAGAAAGAAAAGATTGACTTTGTCCTAAAAGCAAAGCAGTTCTTGGAGCAGCAACAAAGACCAGCGGAAGAAAAAACAACAACAGAGGGACAAGAAGAAGAAGATGGAAGCAGCATATATGGCTCAGGAAGCTCTGAAAATGCAGCGAGCAGTACTCCAGAAGATGAGCCTCTGCCCCCAAAGTCCTGAATGTCCAATGGAAATTTGACAAAAAGAAGCATAAGGGAAAGAAGTAGAAATAACATAACTTTGTAATTTCGAAAGTCTAATAGCTTAAATGTTACTTGATTTAAATCTATATATGCCAGTTTGCTATAAAAGCTTTAAAATAACCTCACTTCATTGATCTTATTATAGAGGAAACTTTGTTTAAGTGAATTATTAATTATATTGTATGATCCTTGTTTAGCTTAAGTTTGTTTAGGTTAGGTACTGGCTATCATATACCAAGACCTTCGTGGCCCTGGATCCTCATATCTGCAAGACTCCAGCTATGTTCCATCACAATAACATTGCTCTTCTGAACAGGGCTTTCTGCAGATGCCACCCAGCAAATGGGCAAGATTGACAGCTGCCTGTACACATGCCTTCTCTGTAGCGGCCCCCACCCTGTGGAATATCCTACCCTATGAGGTTAAGAAGACTCCCACTTTATTCGCATTTTGCAAACTATGTAAAACAGAATTGTTCAGGTTGGCATTTTAAATAAAGTGAACAGGGCTACATTATAACTGATTGATCCAGGAAAATGCACTGTTTCTACTTATGTAATACCATATTCTGTGTTGTTTCATATGTCATGTTTAATACTTATGCTTTCTTCAGATGACAGCTTCATTTCAAATTTCTGCAACCCTAGTCTTATCACATTGCTCATTCGATGTATCCTCCTATTGATTGCACTGATTTACTTTGTGGAATCCACCTTGGTCTCGGTGAGAAAGCTGGACTATAAATAATGTAGAATAAATAAAAATAAAAATTCCAGGGCTTTTCCAGTAGTACAGACAATGCTCTGGATAGGGTTGCCAAACCCCCCAGTTTGCCAGGGGTCCCCCGTTTTGTGGGGAGGGGGTTTCTACCCGCCGCCTGCCAGATAGCCGGCGGGGGAAGCCCCACCCCAACCCCAACAGCCACCCATCTCTCTCCCTTTAAGTGTGTGGAACCCGTGTTTCCTCCCAAGCCCAATCTCTGCAAGCTTGCAGGGAAATGCCAGCTTCGTGCTCTTAAAAGGGAAATGCAGTTGCTCTTAAAGGGGAAACGCCAGCTCCTGCATTTAAAAGGGAAACGCCGGCTCCTTTAAGTGCAGGGAACTGCTGTTTCTGGAGATCTGGCGGGTGCACGGGCGGGTGAGGGGGGGACGTCCCCAATGTGACATCATCACGTCACCCCGCCCCCTCCAGGAACGCCCCCAAAGTCCCCCGCTGGGGGTGGAAGATGGACTTGGCAACCCTAGCTCTGGAATAGGCTACCAGCAGAATATGGACTATTGCTGTGGTTCTGTTTAAGCAAGCCTTATGTTGAGTTCTGTGCTGCTGATCAAGATGTCCACTTTTGGAAGTCATATTTTTATCTGTATTTAATCCCTTGTTGCAGGGAAAAGCAGCCTCAAAACAATATTTTAATGATTAAGTAATCAATACTTACTCTCTCTATAGAGGTTGCAGGTGTCCAGGTGTTCTTCTGGGCCTGGACTTGCTTTGTGCTTCCCTCCAGGCAAGCAGCGATCCTCTATGCCCAGAGCACCTGCCCACAGCACCACCAAAGCCCAAGCTGTACCCATTAGCCAAACAGGGCCACCAAAACCACTACTCATGGCTACCTGAGAAGAAAAGACAGGGGTGGGAATTGACCAAGTCAGTTTGGACAGAACTTCTCTTTCTTTGTAGCCTCTCTCTGGCCCATGATAAGCCACTGCGAAGTCCTATCTGCAGCTTTTCCCTTTGTCTATTTAACTTCAAAGGGAAAAAACTTCCTGCAGCTGCTAACTCCCTCCAAGTCATTCAAGGCATGCCAGTTGTAGATGACTCTTCAACCACCAGATTAGGTTTAGCTGGCCTGGGAAGCACCAGAAGCTCCTGCCCTCTCCCATGAAAGGCAGTCAAGGCCTTAATAATAATCAAAAGTTCAACCACTCACAACTCTGTAACAACAACACTTTTCTTATATAAGCAAGACTGATATCTGGTAAGGGTTTGGCTTCCAGGTAAGATTTGTGTTCTGGGGTGCCAACATTTCAACTGGCCTCTGTGTCCATGTTTTTAATAAAGGCTCAGTCTGTGGAAATTAGTAGGTGATAAATGTTTATCTCTACACTGTAAATAAAAGCTTCATCTGCTAATTCTTGCACATCATGCCATTGTTAAAGGTAAAGCTACAGAAGATAGCTGAAGAACTGGCACCCCCAGGATCTTCCCATGATTTTTGCTGCTGTTTTTCCTGCTGCTGTTTTTTGGCTTGATGAAGAGCTCAAACATTGAACGTATCAATGATCCTAAACCAACAAGATTTGTCCCAAAAACTCATAATACTTTGCCTATTACTTCATCTCTTAGATGAAATCTAAGGGAGACAGAAAATGCAGAGAGAGATAAAGTGGCTCATGGAGTATGTAGCAAACCCTGGGCACCAGTTATACCAGACTGTTCCACATCAGCTCTGCTGAGCCACTATCTAGAACTCACTGTGCTGCTTTGGACAAATTCCTGTATGTGTCAGCTATCTTCTGGGACTCTCATCATCATCATCATTAAAATTTCTATCCCGCCCTTCCAGCCAGGGCCGGCTCAGGGCAGTGTACATAAAATAGCATAAGAATTACAATAATATAGATTAAAATTAAGCAACATCAGTTAAACAATGCTAAAACCATAAAACATAAAAAAGTGCTAGTGTCAATAATTTCACAGCAATGTTTTTACTAGGTTCTCTCATCTCGCCATCAGCTCCTTGGTCTTCTTAGATCATCTTAGGCAGTAGGGTCAGGCTGTCATTGGAAGTCCCAGGGAAACAGGGCTCTCCAACCATAGGCTGTCAGTTATTAGTAGTGGTGGCAGCTCCAAAGGTCTGGCGGAAAAACTCCATTTTACAGGCCCTACAGAACTGCAAAAGGTCCCACGGGGCCCTGGTCTCTTCCGGGAGCTCATTCCATTAGATTGGAGCAGCCACCGAGAAAGCTGGTTGTTGCAAGCCTGGACTCCTTAAGACTCAGGAGGGCCAGCCAATTCTGGGTCCGTGATCACAGCACTCTGGTGTACATATGGGGAAAGGCGGTTCCTCAGGTATGTAGGTCCCTAGCCATATAGGGCTTTAAAGGTAAGAACCAGCACCTTGAAGCGAATCCAGTATGCTATAGGCAGCCAGTGCAATGTCTTAAGTACAGGCTGGATGTGGTCCTGAATAGGGACCCCCATCAGAAGCCTGGCCGCAGCATTTTGCACCAGCTGCAGCTTCCGGATTTGAGACGAGGGCAGCCCCATGTAGAGGGCATTACATTAGTCCAGTCTCAAGGTGACCATCACGTGGGTCACTGTTGCCAAGTCATTTCGTTCGAGGAATCCATCATTCATGAGGAGAATGTAGAAAGTGGGTTTCAAAGTACTCTGAGAATCATACAGACACAGAAAAAAATCAAGGCCTAGAAAGGAAGCTGGGCTTCTAAACTCTTATAGAGAATTCACCCTACATGGTTTCTACTCCCTGATAAACTGCTCTAAATCAGTTCTCAGATCATAACATAAGAGCAGTCAATGTTGGATCAGGCCAATGGCCCATCTAGTCCAACACTCTGTCACACAGTGGCCAAAAATACCAGGTGCCATCAGGAGGTCCATTAGTGGGGCCAGGACACCAGAAGACCTCCCACTGTTGCCCCCCCCCCCAAGCACCAAGAATACAGTGCATCACTTGCCCCAGACTGAGAGTTCCTATCTATACCTTGTGGCTAATAGCCACTGATGAACCTCTGCTCCATATGTTTATCCAGTTCCCTCTTGAAGCTGTCCAAGCATATAGCTGCCACCATCTCCTATGGCAGTGTCCCTCACAGGTCCCTCATCCTCAGATCTTTCACACACTTTCTACAATCTGAGCCCTTCCACTGAAGAGGAGTAAATCACCCAGCACTACGGAAATAAAAGGACCTCAATTTCCAAACTTACCGTAGTTGTAAATACAAATATTTCCTGCCCTTGATTTACTGGCAGTGCAAGAACATATATTGGATTTCTCTTGAAAAAATGAAGCATTGGAAAGTGAAATACATCTAATCCACACTCACTGCTGCTTTCTGCTGTGTCTTTGAGAAAGTGTGCCAAAGGACAAAAATATCACCGTTAACAAGAACTTTCTGGGCAAAGTAGCCTCATCTTTCCTTTTGCTGTGTATGCTTCAGTGAAGATGAACAGGAGTCTTGAGACAACTTCAAGACTAAGGAAAAATTGTTCTGGCATAAGCTTTCATGGGCAAACAGCGCCCACTTCTTCAGATACAATGAGTGTCTCCTTACTAGGCAGAACTTTTCTGCAGAAGGTATGAAAAAATTAACAAATAGCAGGGTCACAAGGCTATTAAAACACGGGAAATACAAGATGAAATGTAATGTAAAATTCAAATCTAAAAAGAAAAAATTGTTTTTTCAGTTTATGTGTATTTTAACTCCGCTTCAGTGGTGTGTTTTTGTTTAGTTTTAACGGTTTTCGTAAGATGCACTTTTATGATGTATATCTTTAATCTGTTAGCTACCTTGGTGGATCTGATGAGGGTGGAAAGGCAGGGTATATGTTTTGTAAATAAATAATAAAACATTGTCTTGATTAGATTTGAATCTACATTTCACCTTGCATTTCCTCTACTTCTGGCCCCTTGACCCTGACCTACATAAAATGACTGCATAGTGAGAATCCATTCATTGCATCTGAAGAGATTTCATCTCTAGCCCACGGATAACATTTGGTTTGCCTTTAGAGTGCCATGTGACTCCTGTTTATATTTGCTGAAACAGACTAATACGGTTCACCCCTGGAATTAATTTTAGTGAGTTAGCCTCATCTATAGCTCTTAGGAGGTGAAACACCAGCTTTAGATCACCAGCTGCCTGGTGAAAGGGTCACCTTGGATGGGAAACAGACTGTCAAGCGAAATGTGAGATCAAGCCTTTTTTTCAAAAACATTCTCAGGCCAACAATTAAAGCCCAATTCCTTAGCGTTTCCAGTCTGGGTCACACATAAGGTTGCCAGTTCCCAGGTGGGACCTGGGGATCCCCTGGAATTACATCTCATATCCAGACTACAGAGATCAGTTCCCCTGTAGAAAATGGATGCTCTGGAGGGCGGACTCTATGGCATTGTACCTCACTGAGATCCCTGTCCTCTCCAGGCTCCACCCCTAAATCTCCGGGATCTTTCACACACTTTCTACAATCTGAGCCCTTCCACTGAAGAGGAGTAAATCACCCAGCACTACGGAAATAAAAGGACCTCAATTTCCAAACTTACCGTAGTTGTAAATACAAATATTTCCTGCCCTTGATTTACTGGCAGTGCAAGAACATATATTGGATTTCTCTTGAAAAAATGAAGCATTGGAAAGTGAAATACATCTAATCCACACTCACTGCTGCTTTCTGCTGTGTCTTTGAGAAAGTGTGCCAAAGGACAAAAATATCACCGTTAACAAGAACTTTCTGGGCAAAGTAGCCTCATCTTTCCTTTTGCTGTGTATGCTTCAGTGAAGATGAACAGGAGTCTTGAGACAACTTCAAGACTAAGGAAAAATTGTTCTGGCATAAGCTTTCATGGGCAAACAGCGCCCACTTCTTCAGATACAATGAGTGTCTCCTTACTAGGCAGAACTTTTCTGCAGAAGGTATGAAAAAATTAACAAATAGCAGGGTCACAAGGCTATTAAAACACGGGAAATACAAGATGAAATGTAATGTAAAATTCAAATCTAAAAAGAAAAAATTGTTTTTTCAGTTTATGAGAGATCAAGCCTTTTTTTCAAAAACATTCTCAGGCCAACAATTAAAGCCCAATTCCTTAGCGTTTCCAGTCTGGGTCACACATAAGGTTGCCAGTTCCCAGGTGGGACCTGGGGATCCCCTGGAATTACATCTCATATCCAGACTACAGAGATCAGTTCCCCTGTAGAAAATGGATGCTCTGGAGGGCGGACTCTATGGCATTGTACCTCACTGAGATCCCTGTCCTCTCCAGGCTCCACCCCTAAATCTCCGGGGAGGTTCCCAACCTGGATCAGGCAACCCTAAGCCCCTATCCCCTGGCAGTGGTCAGGGGGACCTGGCAATCCTAGCCACATAGAATGTCATTACCTTGTGCACCTTGAAAGGTATTTGAGAAGTATGTGGAGTCCCTACATTCAATTTCAGATACAATCTACAGGGGAAGGAAGGACCCAGTCATATCACAGAACCTTTGATCTCCCAAAACTGTAAGCAGAATCCCATATCTAAACTTTTTTTCCGTATCTATATGTCATTCTTCTAGTTGCTTGGGTCTCCAGGCCCACTTGCCTCACTCTCCTCTGGTCCTTTAAGATAACATTTGTTAATGTGTGATCTCTTGTCAGGTTCCCAGTCAAGTCACTCTCCACACACACTTTCTTGGTTGAAAGTTTTATTAGAAGATATGAGATGTTCAGGGATTGAACTTTGTCAGAACTGGGGTGCCAGGGTGGGAAAGGTGCATATAGTTACACATTCCATTCTTACACGTCAGCAATACTACCCAGACCATGAGAGATATACGATCCATGACTAGCTAATCCAAGACTTTTCTCCAAGGATATCTTCCCGTGTGAAA